GGCTCTTGGCATAGGTCAGGCAGAAACCACAGTAGGTATACAAACGCGTATCCTTTGAGTATACCCAGTCCCAATATATCCCTACAAACTTTTCCCCCTCCTTTCCTTAATGTGCTCTGTTTTCAGCTTTACTAAGATTTTTCCATTGCTTAAGTCTGACTGTCCTTTCAAGATCTGTGACCTTTTTCCAAATTGATTTCATTGCCTGCAAATATCCTCCTTCTAGCTCATTCTTCAGACAACTGAAGGCTAAAGGCTTGCTTAATTTCCTGGGGAAAATGAATTGTCTTTTCAGGCTTGAACTGCTATTCGTGTCTTGAATATAACCCTTTTTATGTAGTATTGAAGATACCCTCTAAAGTGATAATAGTAGCAACCATTTAGTATTTGTGCCAAGGACTAAGCTAACAAACTGACTGAGCTTCATTGTGTCAAACAATGTGTTCTCATAAGTCTGTCAGTAGTCCTGCAAAGATTATTTTCATTTTACAGGTTAAGATTAGTTACTTTTGACTGGAGACAGTATTGCAAGTAAAGCTCTTATATTGCATAAGATTGACTCAGTCTTAATCCGCCATACCATATGTAGTCCCCTGTGCATCATCAAAGATGATACCAGAGCACAGAGCCAGGAATAAATGCTGAGAAGGGCCAGGTATAGACCTCAAACAACAACAAAAATTATTTAGTTGCCCAGATTAAGTCAGACAGAGTCTGAGAAGAAGTTGAAAACTATTTTCAGGTACTGGGAATGCAGCAGCAAACACATTACATGTAATTTTTTCTCTCAGGGACCCCCAACTATACAAGCACAGGGAACAGATAGTGGTAATTAGGCAGTGGTTATCAGATGTCTAAGATGTAACCCAGCTTTATATTAAGAATGTTCTTTCTGAATATTGTAACTACTCTAAAAGGTTGTATGTCCATTTTATTGAACAGGAGATTTATATGCTCTAAGAGCTAATGCTAGGATTTCAACCCAAGATTCTCTAAGTTTTCCGTCAATGCAACACAATCTTAACTTTCTGATACCATATTCTACATGCTTAATACATAATGAATTATAGTAAAGAGTTGAAGAATTTCCTGTACCATATTCCTTTTCCTGCACCATGTAAGAATAATGTTACTGTTTCCTGTTAAATTATTTCTTTTTCAGTTGTTTTGTTTGGGGGGCACATCCAGCAGTGCTCATGTGGTACCAGGGGTCAAATCCACTGCTCCAGCATACACTCCAGCCCTTTGGGACAATATTTCTTTTTGTTTGTTTGCAATTTGGTCACAACCACATGTGCCCAGAGGATTATTCCCAGCTCAATGTTTGGGAGTCTCCTCCAACGGTGCTCAGGCTCAGGGATCATGCAGTACCAAGAATTAAACCCAAGAACTCTGCTACTGAGCCACAATATAAATGTACAGTCAGTCCAGTAAAATGTTTCTTAATTTCAGCTCTGTTCTCATCATTACATAGAAAATTCAGATGTTGGTTAAGAGCTGTCTTGAGATAAGCAGTGTTAACAAATAACCACAATAGCCAGGAAGAGTATTAGAAAATCATAAATGGGGGCTGGAGAGATAGCACAGTGGGTAGGGCGTTTGCCTTGCATGCGGCCGACCCAGTTTCGATTCCCAGCATCCCATATGGTCCCCTGAGCACCGCCAGGAGTAACTCCTGAGTGCAGAGCCAGGAGTAATCCCTGTGCATTGCCAGGTGTGACCCAAAAAACAAAAACAAACAAACAAAAAAAAGAAAATCGTAAATGTCTATAATAATATAGTATGAAAGTAATAGTCACTTAAATGATGTAATTTTTTTTAAAACTAAGATATAAAGATAAATTAAATAATGCAAGTTGGGAAAGTTACCTTATCTGCAGAATTTTAGCACAATGAAACTAGGACTCCCATAAGTCAATCAGAACCATATAAAGACCTCATTTGAATTTATATAGCAACATTAGCTCCTTTGATTCTGATGAGAGAATGGGATTACCAAGCAGAGGCAGAATCCTGTGGTCAGTGGTATAGGGGATATTGGCACTTTGGTGGGGGGTGTGGAATGGTAACATTATTCCTCTAAAACTCATAGCCATTTGCACATTGTAAACCAATACTACTTCAACAGAAAAGAGAAAGCTGGAACCAGAGAGATAGTACAGTGGGCTTGGTGCTTCTGTTGCATGCAGTTGACCCCAGTTCCATCCCCAGAACCTCATATGTTCCCCTGAGCAATGCCAGGAATGATTCTTGAACATTGAACCAGGAGTAAACCCTGATCACAGCTGGCTGTGGTCCAACAATGAAAACCACAAAAAAGAGCAAATATGATGCAAAAAAAGAAAAAGATAGAAATGTTCCTCGAGCCAACAATTTAGGTACTGTTAGCACAGCGGTAGGGCGTTTGCCTTGCACACAGCCAACATGGCCGACCCGAGTTCGATTCCTCCGCCCCTCTCGGAGAGCCCGGCAAGCTACCTAGAGTATTCGATATGCCAAACACAGTAACAACAAAGTCTCCAATGGAGACGTTACTGGGCCCGCTCAAGCAAATCGACGATCAACGGGAGGGCCTTTACCTTTTACCTTTAGAATGTGAAAAGAACATTGAATTGTCTATAAAAAGACCTAGAGCCCTATTCATACTTGTGGTCTTGTTAATTTAATCTTTTTTTTTCCTATCTGAAACTGGGTTCATGTTCCAAGGATAATAATCCACTAGGTTGTTTTGAAAATCACAGAAAAATACTACTTCATTTAATACCTGACATATACTTGGTACTTGATAATGACTCTGCATTTCATATGTACTTACTTGGTGGGGGTGAGAAGAGGTTTGGGGTCATACTTGGCAGTGCATCTGAGCTGCTCCTGGCTTATCATGCACTGATGAATGTGGAATGTGTGTGGCCCTTTGAGCTCTTTGGCTGTGCACCTCATGTTTTTAAAAGTGAACGCATGAAGGGGGGAAAAAAAGAACTAGGCTTGCTCTTCAAACCCATGTTCTCATCTCTCGCTTCCTTGTGTCTTTGCTTGCTTTTCCCACTCTAGAGAAGTCCATGTTCCTCTTGAACACACACTTCCTCTCGCTCATGTTTTGCTTTACACACACACACACACACACACACACACACACACACACACACACACACACACCCCAAGATATCTTCCTGGAAGATATCTCAAAAAGCTGGAGCACATGCTTTACATGTGGGAGTCCTTGGTTGATCCCTGGCGACACCTGGTCCTCCCTCCAGCACTGCCAGGAGTGGCCCCTGAGCACTGAGCTGGGTGCAGACCCTGAGCAGCACTGGGTGTGACCTCTCTTCCAAACAAAATTAGTATGGAATAAAAGAAGCATGTGCTTTAAAACATGCTATCTTAGGAAAGTATAAATTAGAATCATGATCACATATCATAATACACCTATGTCAAAAGACATATTTGTTGATGGGGATGAAAAAGTGTACAACCAAGCCCTGGGGGAAGATAGTTTAACAGGTTTTTGTGAGTGAGTAGGGGCTGGAGTGACTGAACCAACACCTGGTTCAGTTCCCAGCTACTACATATGATCCCCCAAGCATGGCCAGGAGTAATTCTTGAACACAGAGTCAGCAGTAAATCCTGAGCACCACTGGTTTTGCCCATCCCCCAGAAAATAATACTTTTCCCAGGATGCAAAAATTGTGGTGCATGCATACCATTACTCAGCAATTGCTTCATATTACTCAGCAATAAAAGGGAAACTGAAATTGAAATTCAAATATGAAAGCTTTGTAACTGTATCTCACTATAAATCAATTTAAAAAAAAAAGAGAAAGGGGGGAAGGAAGTAGTAGGGGGAAATTGCAAAAAGATTAAAGACTTTAAAATCTTATTTACATATTCTTAAATGGGGGTCAGAGAGCTAGTGAAACAGGAATGATTCAGTTATAGAAGCAGAAAACAGATCAGTGAATGACAGGAAGAGAAAAAGAAGTCAAGAAGCAATCCGAAGAAATTCCTTGGTAATGACAAATTGTGTTGTATCTTGATTGTACTGGTGGTTATAAGAACTATACATGTTGAAAAATTAGGCCAACATATACACACAAACACCCTCAAAGATAAATACATAGACCAGGGAGAATGTTCAGAGGGCTAGAGCCTATGGCTGGAATGCAGAATGCCCTGGGTTCCTGCATTCTGCATTCCAGCCATAGGCCATAGGAAGACTGCACCGCATGATTTCCTGATCACCATTGCTTATATCCCTGTAACCCCCAGCACTGCTAGGGAGGCTCCCTTGGTCAATAGAAATTTTGAAAAGATAACAACAATGAAACTATTTCTCTGGGGGCCAGGGAGATGATTCAAAGGGCAAGTATGCGTGCTTGAGGTCCAGGTTCGGTCCCTGGTACCATGTGGTCCCCTGAGCACCACCAGATGTAGTTCAAAAAAAAAAAAATCCAAAGACGAGTAAATGCCAATACTGGTGAAATGTTATTAAGGCCTGTAGACTTATTTAGGTCTGTAGAAACTACCAGTTTCCTGATTTTGATGAGACACTTCAGTTATGTAAGATGTTATCATTTGGATCTGAACATAGGACCTCTGCTTTGTTTGTGCAGTTTCTTGTGAGTTTATCAGTATCTCAAATGAAAAAAGAAATGTAAGGGCTGTTTAATGTCCATTTAATTAGAAATAGACATGTGCATGCTAATAATTGAGGCTGGAGACCTATAAGCTCCATTGCGGGGCAATAAAAACCATAGAGTCATAATGTTATGAATGTCCATAACTTTTGATCTTTTAATCTTCATTCATTGTCATTTATTGTAGAAAATAGTCCTTCAAAGGTAAATTCTAAAGATAAAAATGTGACCTAAGATAACAACTTAAAACATAATTCTGAGGCATGGCAGTTGATATATAAAGTTAAAGTTCACTTTGTTGAATGTCTGTTACTTATTGTGATTCTGACACTAATATGTTCTTTCTTGAACTCTGTTTACTTCCAGTTCTGTCCTCTTTGCCGTTTAATACCAAATGAGAATGCGAGCAGCTTCAGTGGCAGTTTAATAAGACATTTGCAAGTTAATCACACTTTGTTTTATGATGATTTCATAGTAAGTGTATTTTTTTTTACTTTCACGTGAACTCTTCATGGTGCTACATTAGATTACCTTTATTAATTCAAGTGGGTAAAAGTATAGAAATAAAGTATATATAACTGAAATCTGCACGTACTGCCGTATAAGTACCACACGAGGGCTGGAGCGATAGCACAGCAGGTAGGGCGGTCGCCTTACAAGCGGCCAACATGGCCGACCCAAGTTCGATTCCTCCTCCCCTCTCGGAGAGCCCGGCAAGCTACCGAGAGTATTCGATATGCCAGACACAGTAACAACAAAGTCTCCAATGGAGATGTTACTGGGCCCGCTCGAGCAAATCGACGATCAACGGGAGGGCCTTTACCTTTACCTTTATAACTGAAATAAATATCAGCATTAACTAGGTAATCATTTTTTTAAAATGCTTTATAAATTTGGCTATTTATTTTATTTTTGGGGGGGCGGTCACACCTGTCGATGCACAGGGTTACTCCTGGCTCTGCACTCAGGAATCATTCCTGGCGGTGCTCAGGGGAACACATGGGACGCTGGGAATCGAACCCGGGTCGGCGGCGTGCATGGCAAACGCCCTACCTGCTGTGCTATCCCTCCAGCCCCAATTTGGCTATTTATTGACCTGAGTCCAGAGGGAAAACTCAACAGACCGAGCATGCTTTGTGCTGGATACCTGGTATGGTACCCTTGAAACTAAGCTGGAGCAATATCACAGAGAGTTTGCCTTTCACATGGGCGACCCGGGTTCAATTCCTCCATCCCTTTCAGAGAACCGGCAAGCTACCAAGAGTATCTTGCCCACACAGCAAAGCCTGGCAAGCTACCTGTGACGTATTCGATATGCCAAACACAGTAACAACAAGTCTCACAATGGAGACATTACTGGTGCCCGCTTGAGCAAATTGATGAACAATGGGAGAACAGTGCTACAGTGCTACTCTCGAAACTGCCAGGGGTAAGCCTGAACACAGAGCCCAGATGGCGCCCCTATTCCATCCCTCTCCAAAACAAAACCAAAATAGTTGTCTGTCTTAGACAAAAAAAAAAAACTTTGAGATCCCAAGAAGTGTTTCTCAACCAGGGGACTACGTGGTGAAGTCAACATAAATAAGGACATACAGCATAATATTGGGGGCTCAACAGAAGGGCAGAGTGGAGGGGGCACAGGGTAAGTCTTTTTAGCTGAGATGCGATGCTAGTGAGGAAAAGTGGAGAAATACTGATCTAGATAATTAGCCAGTTTTCATTTTCATATTATTTTAATTTCTGCTGTGTTCCTTCCTGGCATATAGAGTTCTAACTTTTAGGAAATTGAAAAGGTTTTTGCTTTTGGTTCAGAAGTTTTTGTTGTTTTTTTGTTTTCGGTCACACAGAAGGTGCTTAGGGCTACCAGAATGGTGCTCTGGGCATTGTGCTCTGGTAGGTATCTGGGGATCCTACAGGAGGGGTTCAAAAATTCTAGCTCAAGGGGATGGGACTGGAGTGATAGCACAGCGGATAGGGCGTTTGCCTTGCATGCGGCTGACCCATGTTAGATTCCCAGCACTCCCTATAGTTCCCCCCTCCCCCGCCAAGCACCGCCAGGTGTGATTTCTGAGTGCAGAGCCAGGAGTAACCCCTATGCATCGCCAGGTGTGACCCAAAAAACAACAAAAAAAGATTCTAGCTCAAGGCTCCTTGCTGAGTGAGTACAAATAACCCTTTGAGTCATCTTTACGGCCCTGAGTTCAAATCATCTGCTCTACAGTGCTTAAGGGCCTTTTTACTTTGGGTCTTGTTTATTTGCTTTGGTGTTTTGGAATGAACTTTTAATAGGGATTTTACTCACTCTAAAGTTCACAGAAGGAGATGGGTTGGAGAGAACAGAGCTGCCTCTAAATCGTTTTTGTGTTATTTACAGAATGTGCAGATCTAGGTTGATTTTATGTTGATTAAAAACTCTTAAGTTGGATCAGATAGAAACTTGAAATTCCAAGACAAAGAGATGGCTCCAAGGGCTGAAGTATGTCTGCTTTGCATCCGGGATGCCTCAATTTGATCCCTGGTTCCTCAGAGTTACTAAGTAGGAGAAACCCTGGAACACAACAGAACTGGGAGCAGCTTTGAGCACTGCCTTGGATGTGGCCAAAAAATACAAAACACAAAACTAGACTTCAAATTCTAAACAAGACTTTTTTTTTAAACTATGACAATAACTTGTTCATTTGCAGACAGTAATATAAAATATAAAATGCAGAGGTAGTTAGTACAGTGGGTAGGGCATTTGCTTAGCATGTCATGAGTGATACAGGTTCGATTCCTGACACCCCATAATGTTCCCTGAACCCCGCCAAGAGTGACCCTTGAGTGCAGATCCAGGAGTAAGCCCTGAGCACCTCTGAGTATTACCCTCCTTACTCCGCCCCCACCCCGCCAAAAAAAATTTAGCAAATGCACTAACTCCAAAGTCAAGATGCTTAATGTTTTATAGCAATTTTGTGAAACTAAATCCATGATTTTACTGGCCTGCAAAATAAGAGCATTTGCATTGATGTGTACCCTCCAGTTTATGCAAACATGTCCTTTACTATATGGTTCTAATTATTTTTCTTTGTTGTAGGATTTCAATATAATTGAGGAAGCTCTTATTCGAAGGGTTTTAGACCGATCACTTCTGGAATATGTGAATCATTCGAATACCACATAATTTTATTAAAAGGAAAAGAGAAGAGACCATATAATGTTGCACCATTTGTTAGGATGCTGCTTGCACAACTGAAGGGAAATTGTTACCGTTGATGGACCAAAGTGGACAACATAGGTGTATGCTTCTTCTTGTTTATTTCTTACACTGCATTTAAAAGCCGCTTTACATTCTTGAGTCTCAGGCACTTATCAGAAATAATCATCATCAGACATTCCTATATGGACAACAACATAAAGATGGCTAAGTGTGTGAAGGATGCCTATTTGTGAATTAAATAACAGTATGAAATGCTACGTATTAATAACTACCATCATGGTTAGGCAAGTAACTAATATGTGTTCTATGTAAAAAAAAATGGAGAAGTACAGACATTTAAGGAAATGCAAAAATCTTTTCCGATACTCAAGTTTTAATCTAATCACTAATAGAATAACATGAATCAGTTTGTGTAAATGGATATAGGAAAGGGAAACTGAAGTCACTGAAGTCCATTTAACAAAATTGTACTACATAGAAAATAAATTTTGTGTTAGGAATGTGAGCTTAATACATTGACTTTTTATAACTGCACAGTAAGAATTTAATATTATATTTTTCAAATATTTGTAGTTTGTTTAGGAATCTTTCTATATTATAGTTTCTGAACCATAAGCTGAATATTATAGCAGAAGTATTCCTATCTATAATTCTTAGTGGAAAACTTGAAGGGCTTTGATTTTTATTTTTAGTCTTAATCCTTTAGGAAAGTTATAAAACAAGTACTAAAAACACAAAATAGAAACTTGTATTATTATGAGGAAACTCTTTTAGACTCTGCCAGCTCCCTGGGATCAGCTGTGTTTGTCTTGTTATTGTTAACAACCTTGTTCACCAAACCCACAAAAGTAACCACTGTACTGACTTCAGTGGTAACAACTTCCTTGCACTTCTTTTGTTTATCACCCAAGTGTTCATCACGCTACTTGGGTGTTGGGGTTGCTCTTGGCCGTGCTTCCGGCCGTGCTCCCAGACCATTTGGTGTTGGGATTCAGACCCAGCCTCCTGCATGCGAGCATGTGCTCAGCTCTTTCCAGCCCTATGCCCTATATTTTAATATTACTCATTTTTAAATGTTTTATTAGATCTATTTCTTACATTTCACATAAAAAATAAGGTTCCTCCTCCTTTTTCCTAAAATTAGTCTATTAAAGATCTGAGAGATAACATAGCAATGCAGGTGCTTGTCTTACAGAGGTTAACCTGGGTTTCATCCCTGGTACCCAATACGGTCCTCCGAGCCCCACCAGAAGTGATTCCTGAGTGCAGAGCCCCGAGCACCACCATGTATGGCCTCTTCTCTCGCAAAATAATTAAATTTTTTTAAAAAAAGACAACTTGGTGCTGGGACAATAATATAGTGAGTAAGGCAATTTTTCCTTGCACATGGCTGACCTGGGTTTGATCCCTGGCAACCCGTATGGTCCCCCAAGCATCAATGGGAGTAATCCCTGAGTGCAGAGTACTGTCAGGTGTGGTGCCCTCCCCCCAGCCCAAAAGAGAGAAACCTAGTCTTGGACTGGAGACACAGAACAGGAGGTAAGGTGCTTCCCTTGATGCAACCAACCCCAATCCAATCCCCGGCACGTTTGGTCCACTACGCATCACCAAAGATCACTCCTGAACTCAGAGTCAGGAATAGCCCCAGAGCACCACTATGTGTTCCCAACCCTTCCTTCCCCCACCCCCCCACAAATGAACCTGACCTTATGATCTATAGAGTTTCTCGCATGCTAATCACATACTCATGGCACAGTTCATGTTTCTTTTTCCCCTGAATCTTAGTACATGAATCCAGAGTCTTGAGCAAACTTGGATTCATCTCATTTTGCAGGACTGTTTAAGTCATAGTGGATTCGAACTCACATAACATCTGACTTTCTCTTTTTGTGACATCAACTGAAGTGGATACCTGGTGCCCATAAGTATACATTGAGTCACTCTAGGTTAGAAGGTATTCTGTCATTTGTTTTTTAACATTTGAAACATAATTGTAAGGGCTGTTTCTCCACATTCATTGTTCGCTTAGGCAGCAGTAAAGCCTCTGTGAAAGAGGAAAAATAAAATATTTGAATGTTTTCATTTATTAATCGATTTTGATACAGCAAACGTGTTTCCTATCATTTTCCTACATTGAAAAATGTATTAACAGCACATTCTGTATCTGCGAGATTTGCATGCAGCTCCACCAGAGACTTATATTCTCAGCTTTTCCCCTCTGGAGAAACCTGTGTTTGCTCTCTTGAACACAAATCTACGCCCACCCCTCCCTCTCCCTTCTCTTTCTCTTTCTTGTCCCTTTCTGTCTCCCCCACTCTTATATTTCTCTAAATAAAAGTATTTTACTTCAGAAAATATCATTAACTCATGGATTCAAACATTTAATGGGCTTTAATTCATTTCAAATATTACCTTATTAAAGTTCAAATTGTTATGCCTTTGCCCTGTGGGAGACTCATTAAGCTGGCTCTGAATCCTTTTAACACTACTCAAACCGTCTTTAAAAGCCTCCTTGATGTCTTCTATGACAAGATATTCCAGCCTCAACTTGTGTATTTCCAACTTAAATAGAATCAGCCATTGGTCTAAGAAGCCTGGTTACTTTCATCTGATAAAGGTATTTTAAAGCCATAATCTAGGGCCAAAGAGATAGTACAGGGCTTAAGACATTTGTCTTGCACATGGCCAACCCAGGTTTGAACCCCCATACCAAATATGCACCCTCCCCCACTGTACACCACCAAGAGTGAGCAGAGTCAGGAGAAAGTCCCCAACATACTAGGTGAGGCCCAAAAACCAAAAAAAAAAAAAAAAAAAATGAAATAAAATAAAGCCATAGTTTGTATTCTAAAGATGTCCATTGCTTCTAGATTGATCATTATTTCTAACAAAGAGCTAGGAGATATCTATAAATGATAAAACAGTTCGTGAATTAATTTCACTTCCAAATAAAATTGAGTATGACAGGGTATTTGGTTGTTTTGTTTGGTCTCGTTTGGTTTGATTTTGGTGTCATGCCCAGTGGTGCTCAGGGTTTGCTCCTGGCTCTGAGCTCAGGGATCACTCCTGGAAACTCTGGGAATCATGAGTTACAGACCACTGCAAGTGCCCTATACTCTGTTCTATTTCTCAGACAGGGTTTTAATCTAATCCTTCCTCTTACTATCTTCTCCACATTTTTCTATTCTGAGAATTGTAGTTTTCAGAAACGTTAAAATATTTCACATTCATTTCTTTCCCTATATTATACATACAGCAGATTTGTAATAATAAGACAGATACAACTATCACGAATAAACAGAAATAATAGAATCATTACTCATTTGCTCCACACATTTCTCCTATTTCTATTATTTATGAAGCAAAATAATTTTATTCAAAGAAATTTACTTAGAAAAAATGTGAAAGGAGATGTCAGAAAGATAGTATAGCAGGTAAGGTGCTTGCCTTGCACACAACTACCCTGAATTCAATTCCTGCCACTCCATAGGGTTCCCTGAGCACTGCCAGGTGAGCACAGAATCAGAAATAATCCCTCAGCACAGCAGATGTGGCCAAAAACAAACAAGATAAAGAAATGTGAGAAGGCTGGAAAGACAGTACAGCTGATCGGATGCTTGCCTTGTATATTAACAACCAGGGCATCCCATATGGTTCCCTGAGCCTTCCAGGATTGATTCCTGAGAGCAGAGCCAGGAGTAAACTCTGAACACTGCTGGGTGTTCAAAACAAAACCAGGGGTCAGAGCAATAGCAGAGCGGGTAGGGTGTTTTCCTTGCACATGGCTGACCCAGGTTTGAGCCCTGGATTCCTATATGGGCCCCCAAACACTGCCAGGAGTAATTCCTGAGTGCAGAGCCGGGAGTAAGCTCTAAGCATAACCGGGTGTGGCCCCCAGACAGAAAAACGAATGAAAAAAAAGCTAAAAGGAGAGCTGGCGAGATAGTCCCTTACTTCAGCTCCCTCTGCTGCAACTCTGGTTCAAATCTCCAGCATGACATATGGTCCCCATTGTCAGAAGTCATTGCAGAAACAGGAATAACTGTTGTTTCATGGATCTGTTTTTTTTTTCCAAATCCAGTTCTTTAATGATAAACTGAGAAATAGAATAATGTTTTCATATTGAGTGAAAGCAGAAATGGAAATTATGAACAGTGATATTAATGCCTGAGGATAAACTTTTATTTGGCTACAGTTAGCTTATTCATTGTTATCATTTATAAAGTTCTTTGTTTCTTACACAATAGTCATTGCCCCAAATTTTCTACAAAATCCACTATTTCATTTTAGGGCGTGGTATCCCAGTGAATCTTGGCTATGCTATGCGAGCCTACTATGCGAGCCTGAAGGTTCAATACCCTGGTCCAGAAACACAGTACCTGGAAGTGCTGGCAGCTCCCAGGGCTACATGCAGTGCTTGGGGGCCAGGTGATGCCAAGGATCAGAATTTAGAACTATATCCCAAATCCTATCCATTACTTCTTTTACTTGGGGGGGTGGGGATGGAGTTTGGAGTGTCACAGCAGTGCCAGGGTGTAATCCTTTGAGCTATCTCCCCAGTCCTCCAATGCTTCTCAAAAGTTTTGTTCACTTTTCCATCACATCCCCTCTAAAATAATTAGGAAAACATAAAACCTGAGATCCAGAGAAGTAGTTCAAAGGACTGAGCACATGCTTTGCATTCAGAGACCCTGGGTTCCTTTCTGGACACTGCCAGGAACAACCTTGAACACTGCTGGGTATGCCCCCCCCCCCAATAACAAAATCTAGAGGATGTTATTTCTACCCTCTGAGAAACTAGTTTTACAGCTGCTTTTCATGGCTGCTAATAAGTAAAAATGGATCTTTAATTTTACATTTTGTCTCCCTCCAATACGTACAGGTCATGAATGAAGTGAAATCCTAATGGACAGGCAGGAGGCTTAGCTCAAAGGATTAATCACATGCTTTGCATGCAGGAGACCCAAGTTCAATCCCTGCCACCTCATGGTCCCTTGAGCACTGCTGGGAGCAGCAGCCTAGAGCTGGGAGATTTCAGCACTGCCAAAACAAACCAAATATTGGATATTGTTACAAAAGGAGTAAAATACAAAAGGAGTGAATTTTTTTCAGAGATAGTTCATCAGACTAGAGATATAGTTTGTGAAAAGTAGGATACATATTTCTCAGCCAGAGATATTTTAGAGTACTGACCATCTAGAATATCTTTGTATATCTAGAACAAGACAAAAGTATCTGTAAATCTTAGGGGGTTGGGGATCAAAATTTTACAAACTGCATTTTAGGCAAGTCACCTACCACTATTAACCTCTGCAGCAGTTCCACAACCTGTCCCTGAATTGTCACCTGTATTGTAGGTGATAATTTTGCCACTTATAAAACAAATTAGGTGCTGGTTGCCTGAATTAGTTTTCCTTCTGAATTATTTTGAGTTCTAAAATGGTGAAGTGCAAATATTCATTGTTTCACTGTGCCTTTAGCCTTTCATAAAAGGAATTTATTCATTGTTTTTAAAATGTGAATAGCAGTATTTTATGCTATTAACTACAAAAATGTGTCACTCTTCATAGCACCTGTGATACGACTTTTTTGATGTCTGATAAGAGAAAAAGATTTCCATGTTATCCTTCAAAGATAAGTATTTCGAACTTTACAAAAATCTAGGAAGATTTTCCTTTCACATAAATTTTCAATTACAGGATTCCAAAACATAGGTTGAAAACAGAGTTGGAAATCTTTGGTCAAGATGGTTTCAGATCAGGTGTCCTAAGAGATCCCGTCTCTGTTGGTGACACTCTACTTCTGTCCTGGGTGCTAAGTGTCTGTGATTTAGAAGTGAGTTTATTACAGTGGCATCATCTTAAAATATGATATAGTTACATTTATCATATCCCAATTTGTACCTTGAAACATTGAAGGTATGTTCACATCACTGAAATTCATTTTTCATGGAAAACTGACACATCTAGTATGTATTGTGATCAGGATTTTAAATGTACAATTCTTCTTCTCTGTAAATATGTTTCATTGTGAGAAATAAAGAATGGCAGGACCATTGCTTTCATTAAAATACCTACCACATCAATTCTCAGCTATTGGTCTTTATCATTTTTTACACAAACAGGATGAGAAAATTGTCATCATTCAGCGGTATCTGTCACAAAGTGTATCAAATGGGGATGGAGAGACAGTACAGCAGGTAAGAAATTTACCTTGCATTTGTCTGACCTGGGTTCATTCTCTGGCACCTCATAAGGTCCCGAGTCCACCAAAAGTGATCCTTCAGTGTAGAGGCAGGAGTAAGCCCTGAGCACCACTAGATGTGATCCAAACACCCCCAAATATGTGTGTGTGACCCAAACATCCCTACCCCAAATATATATACATATATATATATATATATATATATATATGTATGAGTTCAAAAAGTGTGGGCATGTGACATGTGCGTAAGTGACCGAGAACTACCTCCCCAGGCTGACCGACGGATGAAAGAGGGAACTGAAAGAGGGAAGGAAGGAATAGGGCCACAGACTGGTTGGTAATCAGTCACCATTTATTTCCATCACAGCATTAGTTATATAGAAATCATGAAGGGTGGGGGTACACATAGGTGGAGTTGAACATTATCATAACAATCACTGTCATTGTCCTCCGGTTGTTCAATGGGCCAGTAACGTCTCCATCGTGAGACTTGTTGTTACTATGTTTGGCATATTGAATACATCACGGGTAGCTTGCCAGGCTTTGCCGTGCAGGCGAGATACTCTCGGTAGCTTGCCCGGCTCTCCGAGAGGGGCGGAGGAATCAAACTCAGGTCAGCAGTGTTGGACGCTTGCAAGGCAAACGCCCTACCCGCTGCACTGTGCTATCGCTCCAGCCCATCATAACAATAAACAGATGTAAAGCTCCTTCTTCGGGGGAAGTTCTACTCAGAGATTAACTCAAGGACAAAATCTCATCTGGGAGTTCAGCATTCTACATAACTAGGAGATTCCCTCATGGGTGGGATTACATCTTAGGGTGTATAGCTTTCTCCTTTCATTAGTAATCCATTTAAACAATCATTAAATATTAACATTTCTCATCCTTTTGTATGAACACAGAGACATATGACTGTTTCTGGGGGCATCTCACTATTTATCCCAGACTACAGTTCTCAGGCCAGGTTAGTCTTTCCTGGCCTGAGGAAACCCCAGCAGGGCCCTTGTTCAGTTACTTCTTTTTGAGTCCTGACAGAGTTTGTTCCATGACTGTGCTCTTAACTTATTATAGTTCTTATGCTGCTTAGCTTGTCCTTTTTTGATGTCAGGGTAGCTTACTGCTTGCCCTGGGTCCATCCTTGTCTCTCAATGAGACCTCCTTTTAGGGGTTTTAGGAAGGGCAACTGAGGCTTAAGTAAATATGATGGATGTGCAGGAGTAAATATTATTTGTAGTCAATTCCCATGTTACAAAAGCATAACATCAACTGCCTTCCTGTGTCTACACAAAAAGAACATTGCTAAACCAAGCAAAGGACACAGAGAAAAGAGAAAAGCAATATAAAATTATTAGTGCCTGATGGAATTACTTGTGCCTTGGGGGCACTTTTGGTGGGAGTAACCTAAGCTCCCTTAAGGAGGAGCAAGGACAAACCAATGATATCCAACACACACACACACACACACACACACACACACACACACACACACACACCAAGAGTTCAATAATAGTTGAAATATTGAAATGCAACTTTTTAGCTGACATCCATTAAATATACTAATATGCCTTTGCATTTTCTGGCCAAGTGAGCTAGGGTAGAATTTTTTTTATCTAAATATTAATTTAGCACCAAAATAAGCGAACAAAAATTAAATAAACTGTAATAGTTATACTACTGTTATAGTTAGTTTATCCTAGAAAGCACTTCTGTTAATTATTTCCAAGTTCTTAGGAAACACCTTTTTATTGCTATAGATCTCCACCCCCCCCCATACATTATGTCAGTTATTCAACACACACACACACACACACACACTGCAGCTCTGTTCCTTGGCCAAAATAATAAATTTCATAATTTCACTGCAAAGATTACTCTGAGCCATCTAAGTAATCACTCATGACATCCTTCTATATTCCTTTTTTTTTTTTTCTTTTTGGGTCACACGTGGCGATGCACAAGGGTTACTCCTGGCGGTGCTCAGGGGACCATATGGAATGCTGGGAATTGAGCCCGGGTCGGTCACGTGCAAGGTAAATGCCCTACCCACTGTGCTATCACTTCATCCCCCCTTCCATATTCCTGCCCACACTTTCATTGCCACAGTTATCACATTGCATTTTTTGGTACATATAGCTAAGTTTTAGAATATGGGGGTTCTTTTTTGTTGCTTTTGCTTGAGGGACATAACCAGCAGTGCTCAGGACTTACTCCTGGGATCTGTACTCAGGCATCACTCCTGACTGTGCTTGGGGGACAATACATGGTGCCAGGGATTGAACTCCGGTCAGCCACATGGAAGGCAAGCACACAACCTGCTGTACTATCTCCCTGGCCTTCAAAATGAGGTTTATCTTTACCTTCACAAAACCTTACAAGAAACTCAGTATTTGTGTCTAAATCTTTTACTGGTATTATAAAAACAAATAGACAAACGATAGGCTTGGGTGGCTTAAACAGAAGTCAGTTTTCTCACAGTTCTTGAAAATGCAAGGTCTTTTTAAAGTGAATTTGTTTTTTGCACTTTCAGGCAGTACCTAGCTAACCCACATCCAGCATACTCCGGGGGACCATGCAGTGCTGGAGAGGGGTGGAGGGGGGAGCGGGTGTCAAAGTCAGAGCCTTTGCATAATAAGCGTCACTATGGCCCTTTGAGCTATGGCAATCCCACCTCTGCAGCTGGTTCCTCAAGGTCCACCAGGGGTCACTTTCAGAGACAGAAAAGGACAGAGAGGGGCCAGTGTTATTGTACAGCAGGTAGGAAATTTGCCTTGCACGTGGCTGACCTGGGTTCAATTCCCAGCATCCCATATAGTCCCCAAAGCACCGTCAGTGGTAATTCTTGAGTGCACAGCCAGGAGTAACCCCTGTGCATCGCTCAGTGTGACCCAAAATGCAAAAAAAAAATAAAGGACAGAGAGAGACAGAGAGAGAGAGACAGAGAGCACTCATGAGAGAGTAAGCTGTGATAACTTCTTTTAAAGGTAACATTTGTAACATGAGTACCCCACTATGGTAACCTAATCAACCTGTTACTTCCTTAAGTCATTTTCAAATACCATCACAGTGTATTAGGTTCCAACATAGGAACTGGGGATGAGGTAGAGGACTTTCAATCTATGACAGCATGTTTGTTATAGAAATGTTATATGAATGGAAAGGTGAATTGTTGGCAAATGAATTAGAAAAATTATACTAGGGAAGCTGGAGAGATATACAACTGGTAGGGCGTTTGTCTTGCTCATGACCAACCCAGGTTTGATCCCCAGCATCCTACACGGTCCCCCAAGCCAGGAGTGACCCCTGAGCATCACTGGGTTTGGTTCAAACCCCCCCCCCCCACCAACAACAACCAAAAAGGAAAGAAGGGAGGAACGAAGAAAAAAAAAAGAAAAAGAAAATCCATGTTAACTTCTCAGTATATTCTTTACTCATTAATAAAGTTGGTGCAGGGAGCAAGATCAGCATAGTTCTATGCCTGAATTTCCTATTTTTCCCAGAATTACAATGTCACACTTCTGTAGCCAGGTAAATAGCTAGTTTGTAAATTAGTGAATAATTTATCAATTGAGAACCATAAGCAGCTTGTTCTTTTTATTTCTTTGACTTTAAAAAACTTAAATATTATTTTCATAAGGTTGTTCACATTGATTACATTCAATATTTCAACACCAAACCCACCACCGTTATACCTTCCCACCACCATTCAGGCCTGCCTGCCACAGGCAGATGCTAGATAATTTATTTTTTTTTCTATTGCTTATTATGAGTATCATGAGAGGTCGCATGGCTGCATGCTCCTAAAATTGTAAATGATTGGGGTCCAGAGTCATCTCTGTAAGGAGTTAATCCTTTTGAGATTCATTTGTGAGTCTCTGGATCAGGGCAGTTAATGCCCTCAGATGGTCCCTGGAGGCAGTTCGTGTGTATGACAGCCAGGACTCAGAGCAGGTAGGGAGATGAGAATGGGAGGTGACCCATCCCTGCCACTGCCTTGTGCCCTGGAGTCTTCAATCCCTGGCCCCGTGTATCTGGATTTGTCTTCTGGAAGTTTGTGGCACCGGGAGTTCATCTGAATTGGGCAGAGAGGGAACACCCTCTCCATCTGAAATGCCACGGTGGAATCAGCTAGGCACAGGATCTGGAGAGATCTCCAGCAGCAGCTTGTTCTTTTTAAATCATCATCAAACCAGGTGCATTGCTTCTCATTAGAGTACACACATGACATAATGAGCCAAATGGCGAGCTAGCTTCTCTTCTCGAAGCTCTAAATAGAGTCTTAGGGCCTGGATGTAGCTCAGTGGTAGACTTTTTGCCTGACATATCTAGGCTACTCGGATCAGTCTAAAAATAGAGTCTCTGGGTTGGGGAATCAAGCCCAGAGATAGAGTTCTAGGACCTGGGTTTGGTCTCTTGCAACACACATCACAAATTCAAGCTCTTGATTTTTATGCCTAACACTTTATTCACCTGCACTTTAAGTTTAATATGAGCCCCAAGTAAAAAACAGAGAGTGTACTAGCTTTCTGTTTATTTTTTCTTTTTACTGTTTATATTCAAATAACCTCTCTTTGCATAGTTTTTCTTACTCAAATGATACATTAACCTAAAGTCAAAATGGGAAGGAAATGACTGAGATGAATGTATTTACTGAAAGACGAATAAAGTTATCAAATCAAATAATTAGAGATTCAGGACCTGGAAGGAAAACATGGGCATAAAGCCAGTGCCTTGTAAGCATATGGTCATGAGCTCAAATCCCTGATGTCTGAGCATGATCCTGGCAGCTCTTTCTGCCATCCTGTGCTAGTGCTGCAAGCAAGGTTTAGTTGCACCAGATATGATAAGTACCACAAAAAGTGGTGTTACCTACACAGAGTACCACAGTGA